GGAAGGAAGGAAGGAAGGAAGGAAGGAAGGAAGGAAGGAAGGAAGGAAGGAAGGAAATATGCCATCATTTTCAACTTCTAGCAACTATATACATAGATTTTCTCCATGACTATCTGTCCCTGGTCTTCTAAATGCGCACCCATCGCCACTGTAACTGAGTCCATCCACCTTGCTGCTGGTCATCCTCTTCTTATCTTTTCTTCCACCTTTCCCAGCATTAGAGCCTTCTCTAGGGAGCTGGGTCTTCACATAATGCATCCAAAGTACAATAATTTGACCCTGGTCATTTGTGCCTTGACTGAGAACTCTGGGTTGATTTGTTCGATGTGAGAATTCTCGGTTGATTTGTTTGAGAGAGAGAGAGAGAGATTCACATACACACACATATGTACACGTTGTATATATATGAAAAAGATCAGTGTCAAAGAAAAAAAGGACAGGGGAAAATGCTGTTCCATTTGGGGTTAACAATGATATGCGAAACACAGAAAAGGGGTAAAGGGGTAAAGAATAGTAAGCTAAAGAAATTAAAGGTATGAAAGAAGAAAAAGAAAAGGAAATAGAGCTATATCTAGCTTACAACACTATTCACTATAGTTCGCTGTACTGTTCTATGCTTGCAAACCATGCTTTATTTCTACCATGTCTATACATCACTTTGTACATTGTCTTTTGTTCCTTTAACTTTCTTTTTCAGGATCTCAGCAACAACTTTCAGTCCTGAATTTCTCAATTGTCCTTTCTCAGCCTAGTTACTTTTCCTCCATATATCTGTTTCATGATTTGATCTTCATTCATTCAGCTATTCTACACAACCAAACCACCTCAATGTATTTCTTTCATACTGGTCACTCATGTATTCAATCCGTATTCACACAATACTAATTCGTTCTTCAGTGTAATTCCACACAGTTCTGTGACACTCTGTAGCATAATTATGTTTGTTCTTTTCCAAGCAGCTTCCAGATCTTTTTTGTATCCACTTTCCAATAATTTTGTTGGGAGATTTATCTACTGATTTTTTTTCAAACTAGGAAAAATTTATCTTCCTGCAGTTGCTCTACTTTCACTCTTGTTCATGTCACTTCTTCCCCTTTCTTCCACATCTTTTTTTTCTCAAGGTCCATTTTTTTAAAATTTTGGATTCCACAGCAGCAGTTCTGTAATTTTGGTAGTTCCACTTGCAACACAGAATGAGCTAAGCACTAAAATAGTATCTTTGCAGAAGATATCTTTCACAATGCATTCCTGTATACTGTGAAATTATTTCCTGTTATCTTTTTGGATTATCTCATTTTGAGATAAATAAATAAATGCCCAGAATCTGTACATTTCCCCTTCATACACCATCTGACCATTTTGTTGTTTGAGTAGGGAGAGAATGTAATATATTTTGGCTGGCAGATGACAGAAGGAGACATCCAGTGAAATAAAGCTGTAAGGAAGAGGGGTACTTGAGAGGAATGCCCTGCAAGGCAGCTGTTGTGAAGGAGTGTCAGTTCATGAGTTAATTATAAGTAGTCATAAAAACAGAAGGGTCAAAAAAAGTTATCTCTGCATTAGCATTCTTCCTGCTTATTTGATAGTGTAGGTGCTAAAGAACTCATTAGATGTGTCTGGGATTGTGATTTCCCAGAAGTTAACTTTTGTGTGAGGTTTACTACAGTAGAATGGAATGGCTCATAAGCTATACCACTTTGGATTGCTGCAAAAGCAATATTCTTTTTCAATGGTCTTTCGTATGATATGTTCCCTGCAAATAAAAAGCTGACATGGTAGAGGTAGAAATCACCTCTCTTCATTTGAAGAGGTTTTGGCCTACTTTTACCGGCTCTGCCCCAACTTATATTGCTGTAGGTGTGCTTTCCACTGTAAAAAGTGGTGTCCACAGAGGGGTGTCAAAAAAGTCAATATGGGAGCCATAACCATGCAATGGAAGGCCAACCCTTTTTCACTTGTGGACATCCCTGAAGAAACTACAAAGAACTTAGGACCAAAAATGCTATTTTGGAATAACTTTCCATAGTGTGGTATTTTCCAAATGGTTATGCTGACTGGGGATGATGGGGGTTATAGTTCTACCCAACTGGGAGCAGCCAGGTCAACGAAAGACTTGCATTAATTTATTTATATTCAATAAATAAAACATATAGGGCCACCTAGTTGACTGACAACTCAAAGCAGCCTCTGGTGAGCTAACCTGTTTGCTGTTGCAGAAAGACTACAAACCAGTCTATTCTATTCTTAACATCATGGATTCCATCTCATCTCTAGATTCTTCACCAGAAGCCCAGCCCAAATACATCAAAGATGGAAAGCGCTATGGGAGGCGGTCTTTACCAGAGTTTCAGAAATCTGTGGAGGAATTTGCAGAGGTGACAGTGATTGAGCCTTTGAACAAGGACGCCCGCTCATCCCATCTCTCTAACAATGACTGTGATGAGGTAAGGATTTAAAAGTAAGCCACGTGGATAAAGAGAAGGAAGACTGGAGCTAAGGTTGAAAATCCCTCTGTGTGCATGTGTGGAAAGTGTTTTAATGTTTCTTTCAAGAATCATGCATTTATTGTCTCTGTTGCGTGGAATTTATCATCCTCTACAGCAGTTTTTCTCAACTGTGGCAACTTTAAGATATGTGGACTTCAACTCCCAAAATTCACTAGCCAGCATGTATAAGTCCAAAGTTGCTGGTTGAGAAACACTGCTGTAGACAAAAGAACTAGAGTTTTGCTTCCTGAAGTCCATCTCTTCATACTGCAGCTTATTGGTTTCTGGTTTTATAGGCCCCATGGAAAGGCATCTTGAAAGAACATTTTGGAAGGAATTAAGAATGAAGCAGAAAATGCAGAATGCAGACACTGCTGAGAAACTCAAGTAGAGCTAAAACAACACAATTATGTTGCATCTTAAAATCAACAGGTTACAGTGGCATAAGTCTTTATGGATCCTGATCCACTTCATCAGAGGCACAGTTATACTCCTGAGAAAAGAATATTGTGTTAGGGCTGTGCAAATCTGGGAGGGGTGATTTGATTCATAGAGTCATAAACTTGGATGTGACCTAAGAGAACATCAAGTCTAACTTCCTGCATACTGCAGAATTCACCACACTATCCTTGCTAAATGACTATCTAGCCTCTGTTCGAAAACCTCCAGTGAAGGGAAAGAAACCATTCCATGCAATAACCTGTTCCGCTGATTGACACCTTTTACTGTCAAGAAGTTCTTCCTAATATCTAATCTGCATCTACATCCTTGAAATTTCATCTCATTAGTTCTAGACTTGCCCTCTGTAGCAAATAAGAATGTCCAAACCCTCTACAATGTGACATTCCTTCAGATATTTGCTGTCATGTTCCCTTTCAACAAGCTAAACATACCTAGGTCTTTTAACGTACCTACATTCTTCGTAGCACTTGGTTTCCAGTCCTTTCACCATCTTTGTAGGCTTTTTCTGGACTTGCTCAAGTTTATCAATGTCTTTTTTAAACAGGAGTATGCAGAACTGAAAGAGTACTCCAAGTGAGGCCTGACTAAGGCAGAATAGGGCGGGATAATTACTTCCTATGATCTGGATTCTTTGCTCCTCTAGATGCTCTTCAAGATGTCGTTGGCCTTCTTTGCAGCTGCATTACACTGTGGGACATGTTGAGCTTGTGATCTGCTAGTATACCCAAGTCCTTCTCATGTGTGCTGTCCCTGAGCCAGTTTCTCCCATCCTGTACAGTTTCTTTCTGAAAGTTTCTTTCATTTTTCTGATCTAACCTAGATTCATGACTTTACATTCCTCCCTGCTAAATTTCATTTCATTTGTTTCTGCTCACTATTCTAACCTAAGTCTTTTTGAATTATTTTTTTCCTCTCCTCCCTAAACTCCTCCTGTGGAGTTTTGAGCAAAGCACTCTACAAACACACATGCCCACATGCTTTTCCAAACAGCGTGGCTACTTTGCTTCTACACTAAAGAGAAGCAGCCAAATTGCTTTTCTCATTTCTGCTTCGCTTAGCACCTCTGCAACCATTTCCAGAACTTTGTATAGAGGACTCTTCCAGCTTTTGCAAGCAAAAGAGAGGTTGCGTGGAGAAAGTAAGAGAGAGCAAGAAGGTTGCAAAGTGATTCACTGCTTGCTTGAGGAGGAGAATGGCTATCATATAAACACCAAGCAATTATCAGAAGGAAAGGAGCTATGATGAAAGAAGAAGCGAGAAACAACATTAGTGTTGGCCATTTTCAAAATAGTAGGAATGATGGAAATAATCTTGCATTGATGAGCTAGTCAGTATGTTTAGTGTGATAAGAAACCTTAGGCTGTTCAAGTTCTGAGAAACAGCATTAAATCTTCTAATGAATTCTAACTCAGTTGTTTTGGAGTGAAATCAGGGATTGTAATTCTGCTCAAGGATAGCTGTCCTGAGATCAATGACTGACTATCCTAAAAGATCTGAAATGTCCCTCTAACTGGCTTTAGGCTATTGTCCTTTCTGATGTGAGTTTTGTGTCTGTTTATTCTTCTACGCAGTTTGTCCAACATTAAGTGTATTGTGACAGACAATGGTATATACCACATTGGAGGAGGAATTCAAATTTGCCAGCAATGCATGTCTTCCCCTTCTCTTCACCACGGTTGTTGGGAGTCCTTTGCCCACTTGCCAAATGACTCATGCATGGTGAGGGCAGATATGCCTGTTTCTCAGACTTGGGTATGAATGAAAACTGTGGCTGACATGCTTGTATGACTTAGCTGGAAAAACCCAGCCTTACCTCTGTTTTCTTGACACCAAGAAGTCAGTTTTCAGGATCTATTGCTGGAACATTGTATGGCTTCTTCTTCTTACATGCAAAATGACCCTGCTGAAATACCAAATGTACAAATGACATGATGACTGGGTTTGCACAACATGTCTAATTAAAGTTTTCTATGGTATGGTTCAGTAATACTGAATCCTAAAATAAAATAATCAGAGTCTGGCTTTGTGCAGTATGTCTATAAGTTTGTCTGCAAGAAAACGAACCAAGCTTAAAGCTAAGTAAGCTTAGCATGCTATACAAAGGCTGTCAATAAGTCTTTAGCCTATTAAGCAGGTTGTGTGGATACAGGCATTGTGAATCAATTCCCGCTCCCTTGACCTCATTCTTGGCCCCACTTGGCTCCCAAACTTCTGCTCCCCCCAATGTATGAATTCCTTGATGAAGAGACTCCTGCAGGAAGAATCAAGAAGCATTTGTTTCAGCTCTGGTATGCAAGTAGCATGTTTCATTTCTCCTCAATGTTGTTACATTATTTGTTCACCAGTAGGCTCTTTGAAAGTGAACAGGCCAACTATTCTCTGAGATTTTTTTTCTTCCCAAACCACAGCATGCTCATTGTATTGCTTCCATCCTGCATTTGATGAGACAGCCCCATCCCATCATTATGTGTTCTGGATCCCTGAATTTGGTTAACATCTGCTGGCAGAATTTGTTCAACTTTTTTGTGGTTCAGTATTCCACATGTTGCTTAAAATTTTTCAAGTTTTGACAGATGCCCTAAAGCAAGAGACAAGAGCCATAGCCAAGTCCTTTTACCAAATATCATTTTTAGGTATTTACTAATTATATTTTAAATATAAACTATTCATATAAAAATCAACTAATATAAATATAATATTATATTTATAATATTAATATAGGAATAAATGAAATATATTTTAGATATTTACCAAATATCTTTTTGACCTGCAGAATTACCATTCCCTAGTAGGGTTCTTTGCTCTTACAGTTGCTTCTGAATTATTTCTACAGATCAAGTGGATAGGAACAGATCAAATGTCTGAAACAAACATGTATTCAGTGTGCAAAGTCTAAACTTATATTTGCTCATGTCGAAAACACATTGAAAGACACAGCCTAATTCCTATCCAACTTTCTTTCTAAAGTTAAAGGGATAAATACCAGAGCATCATCCAGCTTAGCAAATGCCAAGACCTTACTGAAAGATTGATCAGTGTTCCATATCAAATTGTTGAAAGCTTGGAGCACTTGGGCAGGGTCTTTAGCACTTCTTTGGCCTCGTCTTTTTATGCCCCAGGTCAGGTATTTATAAACTTTTCCTGATGACCCAGCTTTTGTCTTGGGCACAGGAAGAATGGCTGGAGGGAAGAAGCAGGTCTTCAGTGGAGATGCAGATTTCATCTTTCCCAAGGACCTGGTCTTGATGTCATCCACTCTAGAGGGGTATGGGGAGAATCGATCCCTTGGGCTGTACTTCAATTCCTGCTTGAGGGTCATGTACAGCAGCTGCCCATTGATGAGAAGAGATTCAGGAAGTTTCTTTCTGAGCTGGAAGTTACATTTCTGATCCCAGGAGCTGCCCCACTCACTCTCTTGCACTCTTTCTTCATGTGTTTTTCTCTTCATACCTGCTTTGACCTTCACAGAAAGATCTGACTGGCCACCTTGGGAAACATAATGTTGGATTAGAAGGACCCATTCCAGATTGGTCCATGAGGGCTACTTCTTAGGAAACAGACAGGGAACTGGAGATTTTGTGTCTTGCCGCTCTATCTCAAGCTGTAACCTCTTTTCTTGTCTTGCAGAACACTATTAGACCCATAGAGAGCTAGGCCTTCTCTGCACTAGATAGTCAAAATTCCTTGATTCCAAGACATGATCTTTGCCTTTGGAAGGCAAATCTCTACTACTCCCACCCTTAAATATCCCAAACCCCAAAATGGCTTATTCATTTTTTAGGAGGGGGATATTACTATTCCTCCCCTTAAAAGCCCCCTGAAAATGTAAAAAACAACTCAAATTGTGTTGTGAAAAAATAACCATTTTGCCAGCAAATTTCATCTCCATGATCTCAATGTCTGCAAACAGGTGTTGAGAACTGCACATGGCCCACAATCCGTGAGTTGTCCATCTCAGTTATAATCTACCACAAGAACTCCAATAGCTAAGCAGATTTTAAAAATAGATAAACGTGAAATAAAATGGCTTCTAATGACCTCAGTCTTAAACTCTTACTGGCACAGCCCCATCCTGGTCTCTGTTTGTAGTTCATGCTGAAATGTGTTATGAATCTGGTGACAGGGTGTAGAAAAGGATTGTTTATTGCCATTGTATCTTTTGCTTTGCATGTTGTCCTCCAGCTAAAGTTCCATTGCACATTGTAGCCTTCATCTGCTCTGATAACTTTTCTCCTGTCCAATTCTTGACATTTGTCTATTCAGCCAAATGGAGACCTTCTTTGTACAAAGCTAGTTTTGCTGAACTGTGAATCTTCTTCCACAATTTCATCTTTCAACAGGCAGAAAAACCTTGAAAAGAGTTTGTTTCCAGAGAACTGGAGGAAATAATTGATGTAAAACATGAAAGCAAATGATATGAACCAGAAATGAGATGTTGGAAGCAAATAATGATGAGTAGACAGACATTCTCATATATCTTTTATCTCCCCCATGTG